GCTCTTCCACGGATCCACAGTGACATCTCGTGCCTGCTCAGGCAAACCACCGAGCCGGCTCTTGCGCTCGAAGGAATTTGGGCCCAAAGGCGCCCTCAGTGCCGGAGGCTCTCCCTCGCTATTTCTGAGGGTGCTGGGCACAAGCAAGCCCCCCCGGGACCGGGGACTGCAGAGCAACGGGCACCCAGAAAACGTGAGCACGGGGAAACTGAACCTGCAACCTCCTAATCCTGCGCCAGTGCCTAACCCCGGTGCTTTCCGCTGTGCTGGGCTCCATGAGAGTCTATTAAGGAAGATAATTCAAGCAAATCTTTCTTATGGAAATCACTGTCAGGAGACTGAACTCCCTGCCTGGGCAGGGAATACCATGATGCATCGTAAAGCTAAGGGTACTCACGATCTCTGTATCTCACTCCTACCAGGTCTTCTGGCTCAGCGCTCAGCAAGGTCAGAGGGTTATTCTCCGTGGTCTTGCAGAAATTATGAGCTTGTAGGTTAGGATCCAGTTCATATAGATGGCCTTCAAAAAAATATTCTTGATGGTGAGGGGCTATATTTGTTTGTTTGAAGACAGCATCTAAGAATTTGGTGGTACTGAAATGAAAACAAATGAAAGGACAGGGAATGAGAAACGAGATGAGCGCTCAGATTTCTGTTGCTTTAGCGGGTTGCCACAGTCTTCTCATACGGAAACATCCCACAGAGTCAGCAGGGCTTCTCGCTGGGGCACTCTGGGCCACTGTCAGTATTTGCTAGCCACTGCCGACCACCCGCTGCTCACAGCTAATGCACAGCCTGGGAAAGGCTGCTTTGCATCCATTTCTTCATGCTGTTTGGTAGGGATGGGGTGTTTTGTTTTAACCAGCTTTAGCTATGATGCAAGGAGAATCAGTGCTTCCCCCAAGCTCACATACTGAAATGAGGAGCTGAGGCTCCCAGCTCTTGCATTCAATGCCCAAGTTGGTGCCCTTACGTGTTGTGGGAGTGGATGTAAATGCGATGTGAGGAAGCCTGCTGCAGGGAGAAGACATCAACCACGATCCTGTGCAAAATGTCACTGGTTTCTGCAAAAAACTGGTCGAATCCCCAGCATTTCTCCTGATCTGCCTCCAGAATATTAGCCAAAATTGGTATAAGCTGGCCCTTCAGGCCCCTGTAGCAACAAGAGGAAAACAAGAAGAGCTATTTTTATATACTGGCAAAACTCTTAGCCATAAATGTGGTGACCTGCAGAGCCTGGGACTGCAGTGGGAGCCCCTGGGCTGCAGCATGCTCTCTGTACCAAATGAGTGACTGCCCTGTTTTATGCCCCCTTTTTGCAGCTGCAAGAGCAGAACCATCTCTGGTCAAAGAGCTGGGAAATCTCCAGAGGAAAAGCTGATCTGCCTCATTAAGAATTTGCACACAGTATGACTGAGATTGGCTACCCTCTGCCATCAGTGCACTTGCCCAAGGACACAAGATTTACAGTCCTAGGTGGTGCGGGGCAATGCTGGCCCCCCTGGGGAGGGACACTCACGCAGAGAGTCGGCACGTGGCAGGCAGCTCGTAACTCCACTCGATGGTCCCGTTCTCCTGCTTCTGGACCCCTGCGATGGCTCCAGGAGGTTTCTCGGTGGTAATTTTATACCTGTTGAAAGGAAGTTGATTTATCCTTGCTGGTGACCCAGGTTGAGTGACCTCCGTCTGGGCACTATATCCCTTGGGTGCAGCGAATGGATGGGTGGGTGCAAGAAGGGAAAGGCGCAGCAATATGAATGGGCTGGGGAAAACATGATCTATGAGAAGAAAAAATAAATGGAGAAAACATGCCAACAACCCAGTGCAGTACAGGGAGCTAAAACATGCTTCTAGTATTGAGTTCAACAGCCTTGTATAGGGACACAATCCAACCAGAGGGCTTGGGCGCTTCTGGCTGTGCTCGGATGCAGAAATGGCAGAGCCATCGCAGGCTGGCATCACGGCACGCCAGGACCTCTGCAGTTGAAGCACGCGGGCTCGCACACGCTCATCCGCTGCCAGGTTCTCCTCTGGCAACTCCAGCCACCAGTAACAGCCCCAGTGTCACCCAGGCCAGCAGCACAAAGCCCTCCAAAACTGCCGCCTCGCTGGATGCGCTACCTACATGATTTCTTTGTTCCTGCGAGGTCCACCAAAGGGGATGAAGGGGAGGCTGCCAGTGGCAGCGTGGTAGAAGGTCACCCCAATGCTCCACAGATCCACAGTCACACCATAAGCCTTCTGCTGAGGTTTCCGCAGAACTGCTCTCTCGTACATATCTGGGTGCTAAAGGGATGAAGCAGAGAGCACGGACTGCCAATGGATCCACAAGGTCTACAGCAAGTATCAAGCCCTGGATACTGAGATTTAGAACTACCTGACCATGTTGGCTTCTTCTATTTCTGGATACTCAACATAAAACATCTCCTGTATTTTTATAATGAAAATGCTGAGCACCCCCCTCTTTGAAAATCTGGCCCTTTTCAAGTTTGCCTCTCTCCATCACTTGTTATCTCTAAAAGTTCCCCCAGATGCTAGATGGAGAATGACTTCCAAGGCACGCGTGTTAAGCTGTGCTGATAAAAGGCCCTTTATTGATCCATGAGGATTACCTGAGACAGCCAGTGTTTCTCCTCCCTGCTCTCACGAAGGTGTCTCATACCTGACTCAGGGAATGGAGTTTGGCCTCCCTTATATAAGTTGGAGCAAGTAACGCTTTCCCCCAGGACTCCTGGGGTCAACAGAACAGCGACGTGCTGTACTCACAAGATATTCCTCTGTCCCATAGACAGATACAAACTTTTCATCATCATCCAGCTCTCGGGCAGCCCCAAAATCTGTCAACTTATAGATGCTCTGCCCATCTTCTCCCATCAGCCGCATAATGTTCCCGGGCTTGATGTCTCTGTGGACGATGCCGTTCTCACGGAGGTGGTTCATACCTGCCACTAGGAACAAGGTGGGAAGACAGCGTTTGTGGGTAGAGCTGGATTAGTTTGCTCAGGCTGACTTTGATTAAAATGCAGCAGCATTAGCAGGAGTGGAGAGGGAAAAAGCCCCTAGGGCAGCTTTCATGTCAGCTGGGACCAACACGACTGGGAGACCAGACAGGGGGAATGAGCACACGGTAAAACAATGTTCTCATGGTCCCCTGGTCAAGGGACACAGCCTGTTGGCCACTGCTGCTTCCTAGAGGAGGGGTCTGTAAAGAGAAATCCTCTGGCTTTTCAGAAAGTAACGAGCTCAGAAATAGCACCCTTTTGGAGGTGCAATTTCTGACCTGCTCACAGGCCTGGTCCCAGACCAACAGTTTTTCGGGTCTGGGTCACCGGCTGTCACCACGCCTGTGTTCGCAGTGACAGACAGCTGCTAACAGGTCACCTGCCTCGGGTAGGATGAGCAGGGGACCATCACAGCTGCAATACTCACCAACGCACTGCAGCACTATGAGAAACTCGGACTCAGACAAGCCGAAGGCGTTGGCTGGATCTTCCAGCACATTCAGCAAGCTCCCACTCGAGCAGTACTCCATCACCAGCACCTTCTGCTTGCTGGTTCCCTGCATTTGGGGAGCAGAGAGGAGAGGCAGTCTAGCAGTGAGGTCCCAGTAAGGAAGCACTCAATGACAATGCCCTGGCCCCCTGTCCGTCTGCGTGGCCTGTCTGACATCAAGCAGGGCAAGACCCCATCCTTGTTCAGGAGGTGCATGGGTTCCTCCTACTCGGACAAACCAGGAGATCACTGGAGAACCACTGGAGAACACGGGCAGAAGTCGCTCTCCTCCCCAGATGGTGGAGATACTCAACACACAACCCCAATCCTAAAAGAAAAGGTCGGGGCCACGTAGGTAGGTGACACCTCATCAGCTTCCAGGGAGAGGGAAGCAGCGTCGAGCAGACATGAGGAGCTGCTGAAGGTGAGGACACCTGGCTTCTTCCCAGCTGCGCTACCTGCCTGGTCTGTCCCTTCAGCAAGTCACTTCGACGCTCCAACCTCTGCTTGCCCGATGCCCCCGGCCCCTCTAATGCCAAAGGGCTGGGAAAGGTTTGATACAAAGCAAACGGGGCGGAGGTGGGAGGAGAAGCAGGCACCGGGGACAGCTGCCCAGCACAACCGTGTCTTGCAGCTCAAAACCAAGTCCCCATCCCGTTACGGGTGAAGTCGGCGCTGCTGGTTTCCGAGCTGAGGTCAGCCTTACCGTCTCCTCCACGGCAAATAATTTGACAATGTTCTTATGGTTCAACTTCCTCAGCATCTCAAACTCTCTCATCTGAACCTCCTGTGGCCTGAGGTAGCTGGCATTATTAAAGACCTTCACAGCAACCAGCTCTCCTGATTTCTGGACAAAGAGGAAGAAGAAAATAAGAACAATTGAGGTGGAAACATTGTCATGTGTCCCCTGCACCAGGGGATGCGGGACAGGAGCCATGCAGGGGCTCCCCACGACCATGGGCCCAGAGAGGGAGACGTGGGAAGCTGCTCAGTTTCCTCGTGGGAGAGGAAAACAGAGCCAGAGCAAAAGGGGAGATTTCCCACAGCCCGGAGGGAGTCAGTCGCCCAGAGCCCCTGCTCTAGCTGACTTGCTCCTTGACTTGGTTCCCGGCGACTCCCGAGCCCGACACCCTCGCGCCTGCCCGTCCTGAATAACGGGGCTCCATCTTCGCTGGCACATCCCAGCTTTGAAAGCAAACTACGGCGACACCACCGTTTGTTTTCTTGACAGGCTTCCCTCGGCCTGTCTTCTCCATTGCGAGAGCAAAACAGCATTACTCACCTCATCTGCTTCCTGTCTCTGAAGCTCATGTGCTTAATGCAAACACGTTTACTCAGTTCTGTAAAAATTTTATGGCCAGATCTGAGGCCGTCACCTCCCTGCCTGCTCTTTGGAGGAAAGAAGTGCTTCCAAATCATCCTCGAGGCTGAGCCTCTATCCTCGCCCGCGCACGGGCAGCTTGCTCAATGCACTTCAAAGGCCGGGGAAACCGAGACTCCCTATTCCAATCCTTGCAAGCGTTTGCATGAAAAATGCAAATCAGCACCGATGGCGTTTTCAAAACCGCCGGGCATTTCCCTGAAAACAGCTTCCCCGCTGCGTTCGTGGGAG